GTGATTGATTTGGTATTTAGATTTAATAAACCGACATAATTGGTTTAGGTTTTTTTTAATGAAAAACCAAACCAAACCAACCTATGTACACCCCTACTTCTAAGTCATCAAGAACCGTGGTTGAGTTCAAAGGTTAGTTTTTTCTTGATTTTATTTTGTTAGCTTTTCGAAGAAAGGAGCAATTTAACTTATGATAATGGAGGTTTTTTTTTCCAAACATGAAGAACAATAATAAAGAAGAAGATAATTGAGTTAATATTTATTTTTTTCAAGTTTATTTTAACACATGGCCAATTTTTATTGGTCAGTACTGTCTAAAAACTGCACCCACGCACCTAACATAGGTGAAGTCACGAACTCAGCCACGTAGGCCGAAAAGTGGTAAAAAATTAACTAAAAAAATAAGTTCGGGGGGGTAATAGGACCTTAGTAAAGGTTAGGTGTGTCTCAGGGATTTTGGGCATAGGCTGGGGGTACTTATACATTTTTCCTTGATAAAAGGTAGAATCTTTGCTTAAATCTAGATTGTTTGCACACCAATGACCTTTGTTGTTTGCAGACCAAAAAGTCTTCATTATAGCTCTTTTTCCACAATGACAAAAAAAAAATAGAAGCCATTTGCACTAAAAACGAAAAAAAATCGTGCTAAAGAGATAAAAAAAAATGCTTGATTTGAAAGAAGAGGAAAAAATGAGATTTTGATTAAAAAATATACAAATATATATAAAAGGGATTCATTAAAGACCAAACACAAGTCTTCCATTGGTTTGGGACCCAAAGGAATAATATTGGTAATGAAAAGTCCATAAAGCTTCAATAATTGCATTTATACTTATATAATAATAATAATAACAACAATAATTGTTAAGTCTCAGCTCAACCTGAGTAATACACAAATGTCTAAAGGAAACTCTCCAACGTAGATTAATGAGCCACTCAATGGCTGCCAACTAATTAAAAATTTTACACGTAGATGTTGACACTCAATTTTGGACCCCCACAATATAAATTAATCATCGAACTTCCTAAATTCCAAATGATATGAAATAATTGGCTTTATAAAATTCAAAATAATTTTCAAGTCATTTTAAGTAGTTTTGTCATTTTTTATAAAATTTTTAAAATAATAAAATATGATATTATTATATAATTATGTGCCTAATTAGTATATTTTACGAATGTTCGAAAATTGTCTCAAGAAGATTTTATATTTATTTAAATATTTGGTTATTTAGTCGTTTATATTGTTAAATTAATTAGTTTATAATTAAGTTAATTATTTTATTTCGTTAAGATTAAGAAGCTCGTTGATTAATTAATATCAATTTGTCTTATTCAATTACTAGTCGAATCTATCTTAACTAAATTGAATTGGCTAAGTTTTTCTAATTCCCTTTCAACCGATCCCACCCCTATTTATTTATTTTTTACAATTAATACCATACCCATATAATTACAATACATACTACTCCACCAGCAGCCCAAAACCCCACCTCAGCCGACCCATTTCCCCAAATAACCCAATAAAATAATAACAACAACAACAACATACACCAACAGCCCAACTCCCTCAATTCCCAGCCCATTCCCCTGACCCGACCCAAGCCCTTTTCCCCTTTTAATTCCAGCGCGAACATCACAGTGTACAAGACCCAGAAACAGTCCAAAACGCTAACACACAGCAGCGAGGAATAGAGAGAGGACGGTGCAATTTTGTCGTCTCCCTCCCGTCTATGTCCGCATTAATAGCGCAGCAGCAGGCAGCAGGCACGCGATTTCTCCCCTTTCCTCTTCCGGAATGGGTTGAAATCGCAAGAAAAAAAGGTGCCTCACCCGAATCGTGAAAGTGTTTGGGGAGTTTTGTATTTCGAATTGATCCCCTTCTTATCATTTTCTGTCTGTTTTCCCTCCATCCAGGAACCCTATAATCCCCTATATATATTCTCTTCTTACTCACTGATTGGGGGGGGGGGGGGATTTTTTGGAGTTGGAAAATTTTATGTGGAAGAAAAAATATTGGGAAAAGCTCGGAAGAAGAGCAGAGAGAGGAATGCCCAGAGAACAGCTCAAAGTATAGTGATAGAACATACGAAACACGTCTGATAAAAGATAAAAGATAGCTAGTGTCGGTCGGAGGGTCACTCTTCTCTCTCGTTTTGTTATCGTTGTCCAGCTTTCGTGAGTTCGAGATTCTGCCCGAATCACTTACTCACTGTTTGTATTTGAGCTTTCTTGTGGTGGAAGGTTGCTCTGTTGCTCGTCTTGCCCCAGATCGCTGCATTTAAGAAGGTAAACTCCGTTTCAATTCCAACTCTTTAGTTGATGTGTTGTTTTGACAAGCTGTGGTTGTTTGATTGACACGCTAGCTTTTCTCTCTTTCTTGACTGCAATCATTCTCCCCGTTTCATTACTGATTATGGGATAGACAAGTGATTAGAGGGGAGTTAGCATCTCGGTTGTATGAAATGTGAGATGTGCTCTTACGAATGTTGTTATTCCTATGAGATTAGTTGGCTAGCATGTTAAATGGTCTCTTTCCGTCCAATGAAATCTCGAGCATATATGTGATGCTGCTGGTTTGTCTCGTGTGTAGTTCTCTATTCATTTTAATTTATGATGTTGTGCCTTAAGATCCTTGTCGAAATGCTTCGGTTTAGCTAAAAATCTCATTGCCTAGATATTAAAAATGATTCTCTCATGCTGTCCGGTTCAAAGCATCCATTAGGAGTATACTTGTTCCTCAGTTTAGTTGAGTTTATCGATGCGATGTCATCTTCTTGAATATTTTGTTTATTTACATTTGCCTATGCTTGTATTCATCTTTGTACTCAACAGTGGAGAGATTTGTACGTTACTAAATTTTTGAGATATTTGGTGAAAGGTAGAGAGATTTGTGTATTGATGACATAATGGCCTTTGAAACAGAAAGGAGTTGTGCTTTTGCAGGTCATGTGGTGTGTGTATATAAAATTCGATATATTTAGATAGTTGCTTTTGTTCTGTGCTCTGGTAAGATACAAGTTGCCCCATATATCCACTACCATACCATAGGAATGAAGATAGTAACAGATCTCTAACGTTACTTTTGTACAGTGAACGAGATTCCCTAGAATTTTTTATTCTAACTCTGATGCGCCTCTGTGGATTGTCTGTAATAATAATACCCCATCCCACCAATTAGTGAGAATATTATAGATGGGACTGTAGCTTTATGTTTTGTTTCTACCTAATCACTTTGCTTTTCAGCATTTTGAGGAATTACCTCTGTAATTTTCTATTTGCTTCCGAAAATGACTATGAGACTTGTTGGTTGTTGATTTTAACATAAACCAAGTGTAGGATTTTGATGACAGTATTTTATGGCTGACTACCTCTCTCCCCAATATAGATTATGTGGTCATTATTTAAAGCATCTAATAGTTGGGTTTTTCTATTATCGCATTTTGATTTTGAAATGCCTTAATAACTTCTATTTTTTTTAGTCATATCTCAATTACTTCTTCATTTCGTATGCTAATTTCTTGCCTTTTTTTTTGCATGTGAAATCTGCCCGAGTTCTTCATGAACTCCTATCTCCTTCCCTTGCATTTCGAGAGAGCCATAAAGGCTCCAAATTCCTTTATCGAGTCAACCGGCCAGCTATAAAAATTGACGAACAGGTTTCGGAGTTGAAAGAATATGCAGCAAATCGAGAAATTGAAAAGATTGGGCCAAAGGCCCACACTTAATTCCATAGAATTGTATTTTGTTACTTTGGGCCTAAGCCCTTTTATCATTTTAATTGTTATATATGTGTTAGTCTAGGACAGGTGGAAGAATTGGGCCTTAGGCCCAAAGATAAAATATTTTTAGCATGTTAGAATAGGACAGGTACAAATGATTTTGATGGGCCAAAGGCCCAAAACTGAAATTAGGCCCAAGTATTGGTCTAGGCGGACAGAAAAAATAAAACGTGGGCCCAAGTCTCTTTCCCTCTTTGCTTTTGTTGTGTTTATTTACTTATCAATATCTGCAACTTAATCTTAATGTTTTGAGAATTCAAAGTCCCCAAGAGACACTCATTTTGAATTAATTATTTAACTAAACTATTTAGCTCTTACTTGACCTAATAAATAAATAAATAAATAAGTTTACAAAATATTTCATTTGGATAATATTTTAATATTTTTTATTTTTTCTCTTAAAATGGTCCTAACTATAAAAATTGTTCAATTCAAGTTAATTTAAAATATTTTAGCCAAATAATTAATTGTCGAATAACCGCGTATTAGCGGGCATTTTGGGTGCTTTCAAACCCTTCCTGAAATGTTAATAAGAACCCCGAACCCCTTTTAAGTTTTCATTAGATTTCCCGTTTTAGTCTTTTGAAAACAATAGTTTTCTTGATTTTTTCTTAAAAAATTAAGCGGCGACTCTAAAATCAGTCTAAAATATATTTTCCTAATAAAACAATAGATATTAGAATTTTAAAAAAAAACTAAATTAATATTCAAATTAATATAAGGGTGAAAGACTGTTTCATTTTACCCTGTTTCTCTCTCAAAATTGCAAACCCCTAGCTGGGGATTTACAACCAAAATCGTGAATCAAGAGAAAAATCGTTCAAGATTTGTGGTAAAAGTTCATATAGTCTAATGTTTATCTGTTCATCTTCCTCAAGTTAGTCCAGCTATGTATAATTTTTCCCTTTTGAAAGTTGATTTTTGATAGAAGGTAGAATCTTTGCTTTAATTTGGATTGTTTGCAGACCAACGACCTGTATTGTTTACGGACTAAGAAGTCTTCAATTATAGCTCGTTACCCACAGTGACAAAAAAATTAGAAGTCATTTGCACTAAAATCGAGTAGAATTCGTGCTAAAGAGAGAAAATAAAGCTTGATTTGAAAGAAGATGAAAACAATGAGATTTTGATTAGAAAATTTAAAGATATATATAAAAGGGATTCATTAAGGACCAAACACAAATCTTCCATTGGTTTGGGACCCAAAGGAGTAATATTGGTAATGAAAAGTCCACAAAGCTTCAATAATTGCATTTACTCAACAATAATTGTGAAGTCTCAGCTGAACCTGAGTAATACACAAATGTCTAAAGGAAACTCTCAGCTTAAATACTTTACATTAATCCTTCAAATCATCTTTCTGCAAACATGCCATTCTCGGAAGAGCAAACACTACTGTCCTCCTTCTGCTTGTGGCGATATCCGTAACATAAGAGACCCTTTTCATTTAAACACCGATCCAAAATATTGTCATTTTTCAGGATTTGAATTAGCTTGTGAAGGTAACCAAACAGTTATATGGTTATCCTCCAAGAAGTTGCTCGTTCAAGGCATCGACTATATTAATCAGACAATTCACTTGGTAGATCCGACTTTACAAACAGATGATCTATGTTCTCTCATACCTTCTAAGCTTAC